CCCCCCCCCCCCCCGCCCCCCCCCGGGCATTTTGTCATCCGGTTTATAGGTCTTCCCAAGGGTCTGTGGCCCTGTACGATATATTAGGCATGCAGGGTGCTGTGGGACCCCAATCCTGATGTGTGGGCCCCTGATCCTGTGCACTGTCTCTGTTTCCAGGAGGGGCACATAGGGCCACATAAGGAAACAGCTGCAGAAGGAGGAGCAGATGCTCCTGACTGTATTGTTTTGCTTCCCTACCTTCCCAGCTCTGCCTCCCCTCCTCTATTGGCTGACAGTTTGTAAATCAGAAATGCTGGCAGTAGCCCTCAGGTGGACTCTCTTGAGTGTAGAACACAGCCATATTTAGATTTTCTAAACCTCCATTTCATATTTACAAACGGCCAGGCAATAGGGGGCGGGAGGAGGACAAAATCAAATGCAGGTGTGGGGCACCTGTTGTTTCTGCTGCAGCTTCTTCCACATCTGGCCATGCATACCCCTCCAGGAAATAGGTGTATGGGGCAACTCTGCCTGGTGTCATCGGCAGCTTGGAGAAAAAGTAAGTAAATTGAGATCTTTACAGTTGTCCTCAATCAGGGTAATGCCAAAATGTGGGAGTTGTAGAGGGAGACCTTGAGTTTAAAAGGTTAAGAACCACTGGCATAGGTGGTAGGCAGAGTTTTGTGGAGTGCTTCCAAAACCTGTTCTTAGAAGTGAAGGAAGGGTGAAGGGGGAGTCAGGGAAAGATTTTTGTAATTATTTAGATGTTTCCATTGGATACAATACTCACAGGTACCAGTGGAAAACATTTTGGAACCTTTTTTTTTTTTTTTTAAATTTTTCCTGAACTGAAAATTGGTGCCTCCCCTTTGTCAGAAACAGCTTATTAATATAGGATATTTTATGGTTTATACTTTAAATAACACTTGTGAATCCCTATGCGTGTTCAGGGATTTCATAGAATCATAGAAACATAGGGCTGGAAGGGACCTCTAGAGGTCATCTAATCCAAGGCAGGATCATTCCTGTCCAAAGCATCCTGTACAGATCCTTGTCTAACCTATTAATAAAATTACAGAGTCAACCCTATCACACAACTACAAAGCATAACACCCTAACATGTCACAGGAAAAGCAGAGGGACAATGGCAGCCAGCATCCTGCCACTGTGATTGTTGTTAAAATACCCTTGAGACATCCAAGGAAAATGGCCCCCCCTCCTGTTGCAGAGGAAGGCAAAAACCTCCAGTCTGCCCTGCCTTGATTCTAGTTGGTAGTTTTCCCCCTTAAAAGAAACCCTAAATGTATCAAAGGATTGTGCTTCAATACCCCATAAAACTGAAGGTGATTTGTTCCAACCATAGTTCAGTGTTTATATTATTATCTCAAAGGAGATTTTGCACTTTGTCAAAGCTGAAGAATTCCAGCACCTCTGCCAGTGACTTGGTTTTCTTTCCTAATCTCTATAACACTGTTTTTAGTAGTTGCTAATTCATGTTCCTCTCACTATATTTTACTCTGTGTGTGAGGTATGCTGTATTCAGTTTCTTATATTGATGCTGTACTTTTTCATATGCTCATGGTAGTGTGCGTGGGTGGAACTTGAAAGGAAAACAATTAATTTTGGACTAGGCTTTAATGCTTGACATTCTGTTTCCATCTGATAAGCGATCTGAGTGGGATATCTGCAGGAACATGAATCAGATTTTGAGTACAGGCACTGGAGAGATGGGAATAGTGGTGCCCAAGTAAATTTCCACTCCTGTGAAGAGCAGCCTTTTGTCATGCCCTTAGTGGCAGCTGGTGAACAGGGATAAATCTAAGTTCTTGGAGAAGTCCTGACCAGGCCCTGTTAAAGTCAGCATGAAGGAAACTCTGTGTTTTTAAGCATTTGTGAGGTTTCTAATTTAGAAGTAGTATTATTTTACCTTCCATCCAGTTTCCAGTTCTTTAAATTTTCTGTCTTCAGAATACAGTATTATCCTTTTTATATCTGGGCAGTATTTTTTAAGAATTATTGAAGGAGAACTCACTTTTATGTATACTGGACTCTCTAATGTCCTTGCATTCCTTAGTTTGGAACGGCAGCTATTCAAAAGGAAAGTAAACAAGCAGGGACCTTTTTCAGGCATGTTTTCCAGTTTTATTTGAAGCTTTCCACAATTTTGCCCCCAAGTATAGTTTCTGTTTAGCATTTGATATTCTCTGCTTTGGGTATGTGTCCTGTTTTGGCATGGTGTTAAGACTTGATGATCTAAGTTGCAGCTGGAAAGATAGGGTTTGAGCACATGTACACCCGCAACCTCCTCCCCTCTGCCCCCGGATATTCCACCCCATTGGGAAAAGGGGTGGAGCAGTAGAATAGACAGGTATAGTCATTTTGAGATTTGGCTAGCTGTCTGCTTGGTATAGAGGAGACCAGCATGTGAAAATCCTGAGCCATAGGGCAGTGTTTCTTAACCTTTTTAGACTCAAGGCACCCTTTGGAAGATGCTGGCTCTTAGCTTCCACTTGTTTGCGAGTGGGTGGGGGGTCTGTTTTGTTGAGGGGGTGGTTGTGGTGGGGGGGGGGGGGGCGGTAGTTGAGTATGGAAAAATAATAGAGCAATTCTGCTGCTGTAAAGAGCTCAGGAAAACCACAGCATGTCAGGATGTTTTTGATGCCCTGGACTGCTGTTTGAAATCTCGTGAGTTTTTTGTGAATTGTGTAGATGTTTGCACACCTAATAGTAGGACTGTGTGAAATTTCGCCTACGATTTCATTTCAACAGTGTTTTGACTCATTTCAAGCTCAAAACAGTGAAATTGAAATGAAGGGCTTTGAAACAGCCTTGAAACGAAACACTGTTCTGTTGAAATGGATGTCAAAGTGGAATACTGCTGTTTCGCACAGCCCTACCTAATAGCAGTCTCGTGGCACCCTAACTGAGAATCACTGGCATAGATGATATCCATCTTGCTCATGGTCAAAGCAGAGGTCATGGAGTCAGAATCACAGATCTTTTATGCCTGGTTTTGCCATAAAATGGTGGCTGACAAATCTGACAGAACAGTTTTCCACCTGGAAATATGGGGATTTTCATACCTGTGTTTTTGTCCATCAGAACTGTTTAGAGGCCTGCATGAGGTTTAACTACAGGCACAGGGGAGGTGGGAATACCTGTATCTTAGGTAGAGGAGTGGGGGTTATTTTTATTTTACAGTTTATTGTTTTATTTCAGTAATATTGAGAAGTTTTGTTTTGACTCCAGTGTTTACAGTTCAGTTGGCATCTACATTTTAAATGTTTTAATATAAACTATATTTTGCAGCACTATTGAAACAAGGATGGTGTTTTCTTTTTTATTGATTTTTTTTTTTCCAGCTTTTTTTGACTAGCTCTTCTACTGCAGACTCTTGCTGTGTTTAAATAGCTTAATTTGGGGACATTAAGTTGCCTGTATATAGTTAACCCCTATGTTGACTGCAAGTGTGCACAAAAAGGCAGGGGCTTCTGCAGTAGAAAGATGCTAAATCATTTAAGACTTTGTAGGTCAAACCCATTTGGATAATGCTGATTTGCAGGCATGATAAAGGTTAAAGTAAAAAAAAATAATTATTATTTGTAGCTCCAGCACCTTTAGTCATTGTGTCTACTTTTACAGTGGAGAAAAAAAATGCTTGTAAGGATGACATTGCCAAAATATTATTGTGTATTGTTGTATTAGCTCTCTGTTCTAGTTCAGCCTTAGGTATGTATACTTATACCACCCAACATCTGGTATGTATACTTCTAGAATACTAGAAAATTGGTTAAGTGTGCCTTGTGCTTTGTCATCCATTTTTGAATGGGCATATAATGTATTTTTGTTAGCTAAAGTGGAGGTCAACTAAGTGGCTTTTATAAAATAAAATTTGCAGTGGCAGCTTATTTCCATGAAGTCTTCTAGCTCTTGTGACTAATGAAAGAGCTTGATGATTAAGCTGCATTTCTCTGAGTGAATTCCTCTAGAATCTTCATGGATAAATTAGTGCCATCCTACTTTCAGTTCTTTAGAATTCCTGGAACATTTTCTTTGCATGAAAGAGTATATTTTTTATTTTTAATATCTTCAGCATTTATATATTGCTTGTTTGTAGCATGAAGACCCTTATTTGCAGCAGGCAAGTTTCAACAAGTTGCGTCTGTGAATTGTATTGAAATCTATTTTTTCATTCATTATGAAGCCTTCAGAGTTTGGCGTAAAATCTCCACATAGTTGGTCAATCAGAGCAAGCTTTATCAGTATTAGCAGTAAGACTCTGTACTGCCTCTGCTGTACCGGTAACCTTCTCCCCACTGCTATTGCTATACGTTACTTCAGTCCTGGGAGAGCCTTCTTGAGGGAAGAAGAATAAATCCATTTTTTCTGATTTGGCCCTTCCTGCTGGGGCTATAGAAAACACTATAACAAGGATACATATCCCATAAGGGTACAGTGTTAGAGTCTGTCTGTCATGCGGTAGGGAGAGAGTCAATTCCCTGACATGCATACAACTACAGCCATCGAGCCACCCAACATCTAGACTCAGTTCTGCCTTTGGATTCTGTCTCAGTGGTCTAAAGTCGGGGATGGAGTCTGGGCAGCCTCCACTTCTCCATACTCCTGCATAGGTATAAATGTCAAAGGTCTGGGTGACTCACGCATACACCATGGTCCAGAAGGATCAACAGTTGCCTACTACGGGGGATGGGCAGAGAAATCAATGAAAAAAATAGACTAAGGTTTTCATCTCATGCACATAGACCATCAGCCAAGTATGAAATAGTAACCACTTTTTCCCTCTGTGAGGGTGTTGGACTTTTCTTAAACTGTGACCTAGAGGTGAAGAACTACCTGCCTCCTAAATCATCCAGTCCTTCCTGCCTGTATGGTACATCTCTAGTCTTTTATATGCTCACTAACTGCTTTCCCATGCTGTGCAGATAGTTCCTTTAATGCTTTTCAGTACTGTGTATTAAATACATCCTGTGCTCCAGAGTGCTGAGAAATGCTGCTTTACCCATGCTCCTCCTAGTTTCTTGAAAGGCAGCTATGCAGTTTTGTGGCACCTTACTGATAAATTGCCTCAACAAAGAAACAAGTTCTCAATATGGAACTGATGTAATGCTGATCCCTTTTGAAATTCTGTACTTCAATATTATTGCTGTCATCTGCTATTCCCATGCATAGTAGGGTTGAGGATATTAAATTTTCATCTAGCAACTGTCAACTGGAAGGATCGGCTGCTACTTAGTTTAACAAGTTAAGCAAATTTGAAATTTTGCATGCATAAAACTAGACTGAGTTTCTCACTGTTTTCAGCAGCTTACTGCTCCTGATTGGAACACTTTAAGGTTTCAATAAGCAGGTATTTTATTGTAGGTGAAGACAAACAAACAGTATTGTAACTCTTAACATTTACATACAACCTTGTTTTGCAGCCTGAGGTTCCTGAATGCCTCTGCCAACAAGCTGGAAATGCTTCCCCCAGCCACTCTTTCTGAAGAGACCCACAGCATCTTGCAGGAGCTGTATTTGACCAATAACAACCTCACAGATAAATGTGTGCCCTTGTTAACAGGCCATCCACACCTGAAGATTCTGCACATGGCCTACAACCACCTTCAGAGCTTTCCAGCAAGGTAGACTAACTTCTTACTGATTTTACAGCTTTGTTTTGCTGTTCAGAAATTGGTCAGCACGGATTCTGTGGAGTGGTTGCTTTGAAATTGTGGATTCAGTAATTGGCATTTCAGTGTTTGTGTGCAACTTTATGCTCTCCAGTGGTACAAAGGAACAAAGTATTATGCATCTTAAATTGCAAATATAGTTTTGTTTCCTGCTTTTTAAAGCCAAGGAGATTCAGTGCAATACTCCAGCTCCATTTATTACAGCACCATTATAGTCTGAGAATTTAAATATAAAAGTCAAAGCTCTCACTTCTGCACAGAGACTGTAACATGCCTGATTTACACTTGCATAAGAAGGGTATATATGTATATAGGGATTGCCCAGAATAGCTCTTCTGGAACAGTCTCCCTATTTGGGCATGCATACTCCAGAATAAGAGTGCCTTTTTCTATCTTGGATTCAGCTAAACTAGGAAAAGGTACTCTTATTCTGGAATATGAATGGCTTATACAGTGAGTTCTTTCCAGGTAGCTGTTGTGCTTGAAATTAACACCCTAATTTAATCCTGAATCGTTTTCAAATGCAGACAAGCCTTAAGGCTGATGGAGTGAAACCTCAGGGAAGGGGATATCACTAGATTTATCAGAAGACATCCATCTTTCTCATTCCAACCAGGCATGGGCAACTGGTGCCTCTTGAGTCAGGGGCGGCACAGCAGTTGATCATTCTTATGGGGGGGGGGAAGAACCCCCCATGACCGATCTCTCTCACCAAAAAAGCAGCTGTACCACCTCTGGAAGTCCCACAGCTGCTTTTGCTGGCAGCCCTGCTCCCCGGCCAGCACTTGCAGGGTGGGCACTGGCACTTCTGCCTGCCCATTGCCTAAACAGGGAGCATGGCCTGATGGGGCGCACGTGCACTCCCTACGCATCACCACTGCAACCAGGCTGGGCTTTACTGAGGGAACAAACACTCTAGAGGGAGAAAATAGAAATGAGATGCTAGGAAAAAGTGTGGAGGTGTACCAATAGAGATTTTTTTGGGCCAGTACTGATGGCCAGTTTTTAAGGAGCCATATTGGCTGATACTGATCTGATTCTGATATGCAGCTGGGCAGCTTGGACACCAGCCTCGGGCTGGTAGGATTGGTGTATGGAAAGAGGCGGGAGGAGGGAAAGGGCATGGCGGAGTGCATATTGAGGACCCCACGGTGAGGGAGGGAGTGGGACTACATCTAGGGCAGGTGCTGCTCAGCTGGGGCGGGGCATGGGATGGGGCCGCAAGAGGGTCGTCAGGGGGACAGGGGACGGCTCGTGCCCTACATGCACCCTGGGAGAGGCATGGGGGGCACGTGCCTGCGGTGCAGGCTGCTGCTATGGGCTGGGGTTGCGGGTTACACCAAGCTCTTCCCAGCAGGAGCTGGCCTGGACTGCGCTCAGGGCAAGCGGCAGCACTGGAAGAGGGTTGAGGGGGGACTGCAGCCACCCCAAAATTCACCATAGCCCCCCTCCCAGTGCTGGTGCTGCCACATGCCCCAAGTGCAGCCTGGCCCAGGCCCCCCGCCAGGAAGAGCCTGGCGCAGCCCCAGCCCACAGCAGCAGCCCACACTGCCCCATGCAGATCTATTAAATTCTGGTTAATAAAGTATTCAACTGAGCAGCATCTGTCCCTATCCAAGCCTCAGCCCTGCTCCCTTCCTCACCATGGGGGGCCTCTATCTACCCCCCCATGCCCCTTCCTTCCCCCACACCAGACTTACCAGCCAATGCTGCTCTCCAAGCCACCAGGGCTGCACTCCTGGCCCCATGCATGCTGCAGCTGTGCACATGCATGTGGCATTTATCGGCGACATTATCTGCCACATCAGGCAAAAAAGCCGATTTCCGATGCTGTCAATTTCCCCTATATCAGTGCCGATCTGATATGGGACCCATGTATCAGTGCACTATTTAAAAAAAAAAAAAAAGAAAGAAGAAAAAGGGGGGGGGGGGGGGGGGAATACTTGATGTGAGGAAAAGAAACTAGGATTAAAATAATAAAGAGCAAAAGCATGAGATAAAAAAGGAAAATAAACATAAGAAAATAAAGACTAACATAGAAGTAAAAAAAAAAAAAAAAAAAAAAGCCAAGCAAAATTCGCTGAATGAGCCTGACCTTGTGCTGTCACCGTTTCAGCATACTGTGTGTGGAGAGATGGCAGGCATTGACCTGCAATAAGGGCATGGAACTAAAATTATAACAAATGAAAACCATTGTGAGACCATTACTGTTTAAAAATAAATAAATTCAGGGCACATTTTAAAATTCCTCCTTTTATTTTATTTCATTAGTAAAATGGCCAAGCTTGAGGAGTTGGAGGAAATAGATATTAGTGGGAACAAACTGAAAGCCATTCCAACAACCATCATGAACTGTCGGCGTATGCATACAGTGACTGCTCACTCCAACTGCATCGAAGTTTTCCCAGAAGTCATGCAGCTTCCTGAAATAAAGGTAAGGAATGGACTTTGTAAATTGCTTTCAAAACTTTTTATTTGGTGGCTAGAAATGGTGTTGTTAGAAAATGGAGGCTATAAGTGGAGAGCAACAGCGGGTGGATCATTCTGAATTTACTCTATGTAATGCTCTTCTCCTTGTTATCCACTCTGCCACAGAGAAAGACAGGGTACTGGGTTAGAAGGACCTGTGGTTTGACCTGGTATGGTGCTTAAGAATGAGGCTGTCTACGTAAAACAATGCACTTGCATTTGTATCTGAGTTGAGATGTGTCTGTGTACTCTGCAACATGCGTTTGTGACAACTATGTTTGTGTGTCCAGTTCACCCTGCTATGCAACTCCTACAGGATTATCCAGACTCAAAATGTATAGGTAACTGTTGCCATCTCATTGGCAAAGCAGTGTTAATACAAAACACCCTTAAGATCTGTGAAGCCTCACATCTCAACAAACTGCTAATCTGGCTGCACTCTCATTTTTACCAAGTCCCATCTGCTCTGCAGAATGTGGTTTTAATTGTCTTCCTGTACAGTACTGCATGGAAGCCAGGACCTCTGGCAGTGGCTTCATGAGAACAGTTCATTCTTGTAACCTTGGTAGTTAACCCTGTGTGGAAAGGACCAATGAGTTGAGCCAACTGTTTACCATTTACTGACTAAAAAATCCTGTTAAATGTTACAGGCTGCACAAGGCCTGAAGATCACTGATGGAATTCCAGAAATAGCAGGATGTGGCTACTTAAGCAGTAGCTGTTTTCTAATTACAGTAGTAATGTGCTGTTTGGGAATGTACAATTTAATTTTGTGTATTTTTCTTAAGAAATGTAAATCTGAGTTTCCTTAGGCAGGTTTTGCTGGGGGGGGGCAGCTCTTCTATGTCTAAATGTGGTGTCATGCATGAACCAGATTGCTGCATTTTTCCCAGGCTGTAGTACAGAACTAGAGCAGGCTCTGCACCAATTCAGCCAATCAAAAGTAGGGGGTGGAAATTGTACATGGGTTGCCTGGGCACAGAAAAATTAGCTTAATTAATCCTAAAAAATAAATGTTGAGAGCAGATTGCCTTCCTATAGGACCAATAATCTTAAACAGCCTTTTGGTCTACAGGAGCTATGAAGAATTTCAAGACCTGAACCCTTCTGTATTTTTCAGTCTATCTGGTCACACTAAACAGTGTTATTCAAGTTGCTGCTCTTGCTGTTTGAGCACATCTAAGGATGAGCTGCTTGAGCCAGTTTTAGCTAGGAAATCTAAAACAAACTTGTGGATTTTTGTATACTCCTCCCTCTTTGGAACAATGGTCAGAGGAAATTGAAGACCATTAAGATTTTATTAAAGTTAAAAGGCATTTTCTTAAAGGAAGGGTTGGGGTGGAGGAAGGCCAACTCTCTCTCTACATATAAACATCTGACAAAAAGTATACCCTCCTGTACACTTAAAAAAATAATAATATAAATATGGTTATAGAAAGCGGGGTGTATTTCTTCCCCCTCCTCCCTCATTGTTGGTTTTCACTCTGAGAAGAGAGAAAAGGGTAGAAGCAGATCAGAGTGGCACTTTTTTATAAACTGACTAGTTTAGAGAACCATACATTTTGTAACCAACATCTTACTTCTTCAGATGCTATCTATGAAAACAAGTTAGTAAGAAAAAAGGGACCACTTTCCAGGAGTCGGACAACACTTTCCACTTGCCTATACATACAAAATGGACAAGGAGGTGGTTCTTGCATTGAATCCATCTTTTAGTTTTAGAAACTTAAAATAGGAGGATAGATTGCTCTGAGACTGCAATAAGGGCATGAGACAAAAGACCAAGTGGTAATTTGATCTGCTTGGCTTGCATAAAATGAGTTCACATCTGCCTCAATGACAAGCCTCTCATTTGAGTGCTGTAGACTGGAGGCCCAGAGACAGGATTGCCCATTATAAAAGAGCCTCCCTCCAGGTCAGGGTTGAGGTGTGCTGGTTTGAAGTTTGCACTACAGTTGACTGCTGTGTCAGTTCTTGGTCTTTATGGGAAGGTTTTGTCTGGAGAATGGTCAGTAAATCTAGAGCTTTTGAAAAGCAGTTGAACAAGTTTTATAATTTTTTTTTCTAAAGATTTAGGTGAAATGAGGCACTCCGTTCTATTGTGTTAAAGTCACAGAAATGCATATACCGGCTAGTATACAATCCTAGAAAAATTCAGGTTGAAAGGGACCTCAGGAGGTCATGTAATTCAACCCCCTGCTCAATGGAGGACCGTTCCCAGTCAAGGCTTTGTCTACCTGGGTCTTAAAAATGTCAGTGGATGGAGATTCCACAACTTCTCTAGGTAGCCTGTTCTAGTGTTTTACTACCCTTCTCATTAGAAAGTTTTTCCTAATATCTACCCTAAACTTCCTGTGCTGCAACTCGAGACCATTGCTCCTTGTTCTGTCATCTGGCATCACTAACTCCATTCTCTTTAGAACCCCACTTCAGGTAGTTGAAGGCTGCTATTAAATCCCCCCTCAGTCTTCTCTTCTCCAGACTAAATAAGCCCAGCTCCCTCACCCTTTCCTCACAAGTCATGTCCCCCAGCCCCCTAACCATTTTCGTTGCCCTTTGCTGGATTTTCTCCAATTTGTCCACATCCTGTCTGTAGTGAAGGGGCCCAAAACTGGACACCGTATTCCAGATGTGGCCTCACCAATGTCGAACAAAGGAGAAGAATCTCTTCCCTCGGTCTGCTGCGAACACTCCTACCAACACAGCCCAGTATACCGCTAGCTTTGTTGGGAACAAGGGCACGCTGCTGGCTCATATTCAGCTTGTTGTCCGCTGTAACTCCCACTGTATGCATGTGTATCCCACACTGTCAGTGACCCTGTAATCTAGAAGTATGAAATAATGGCAGTGAGGTTAAAAAAACATTTTAAATATATTTCAGGAGTCCCTCTTACATGAGGTAACAGTAAATAGGTTTTTGTTTTTTACTTGGTGTTTAGGTAGCTGGATCTGGTAATTGGAAATGGAATATTTTTTGTTTCTTCTCTAATACCACTTGGTAAGGAAAGATAATATAGGTAATTAATACAGTTTTCACTTTAATTTTCAGAATTTTAAACAAGTTTAATTTTGTGTGTAGTGTGACTTTATGAAAATAAAATGTCTAGTGTGTACTGTTACAGTACTTGGGGAAAATCAGCTGCTAGGTTCTGGAAATTGGACACTGAAAGTTATTGGAAACTTGACATTTTCATCTCTTTCTCTTCCCTATTATAAAATGTGCATAATACCACTTCACCTCATAGGAGAGTCATGTAATGTATTAATGAATGCTTAAATTGCACAGACATTTATAAGATCGAGAATGGAGAAGAGCCCGTTTAGAAAGATTCCATCTTTGAAGTAGAGTTTGAAATTACATGCAGTAATTGAGCAGGGGTCACACTAAGGAAAATGGGGGAAACAACAAAATATTGCATAGGTGCTTATTTAGGTAAGGTAGGGGGTTCTGTGGGGAAAAAATAAAATGTGCAATCCTAAGACTGTTTTGAAACGTATGTGGAAGGGAGCCTTAATTTTAGTATTTTTAAGGTGCAGGACTTTGCAGTGTTAATGCTCTTAATAGAGTTGGATTTTGTATGTAATTTCCTAGACTTAACCAAAAAAAAAGACAAATTAAACCCCCCATATTTCATCACATGGTGGGACATTGACACCCACATGGCTCATTGACAGGGTCAGAACCATTAGATCCACTACACAGACCTCTGCCATTTGAGCTAATTGAGTAACTGATAGCAGTAGTCCATTGTCATCCTTTTTTGTGGACCAGCCTTAGAGAGAGATGAGATGTATGCTTTGCCAGTAGGTTTCCTCAATGTCTGCCAACAGCTGACAGATCGTGATACCCAGGAATCTTAGTTCTTTCCATGGTCTGGAGGGGAGTGTGCTATAGTGAACACAGCCTTCTGCTCCATCTTCTCCAATCTGTCCTGTAATATTTTAATTCTCCTATGTCCTCCCCTTGCCCCCCAGTTTTTTTGTCCAATATTACTGGATTCCTTCAATACGCTAAAGCAGTTCAAAGAAAGTTGCAGTACATTTAGCATAGGCATAACTTTTGGAGGGTTGAGTTTTTTGTTGGTTTGCCTTCCGAGGACAGGAGACGGTCCCCGTTGAACATCAGCAAGGAGTGCAGTCTGTTCGATAAGCCCACCTCAACAGAACAAGTTTCTTTTTAATTATGGTGGAGAAAAGTGCTGCATGTGGTTTGGAAATGAGTGCCAAGTATTACCTATGTGCCGTTTACAGTAATCCCTGCTTCCCCACCCCCACTTATGGCCTTGTGCTCCCTACATGGATTTTCATGCCCATTTCACACACCAGTGGACTTTCCTTGGCATCTTGTTATCTGACTCCAAATCTGTCAACTTCAAAAATATGTCCCTGTGAAAATAGAACTCTCTCAAGGTATATCCTGCTTCCTGGATCAAACAAAATTGCATGTATTCCCACATACTTGAGCAGAGTTCAGCTATCCTGGCTTGCCCTTTTGGAATGGGGTCTGGTTTTGTTCTCTTGGGCTCTTGGAATGTGTTCTGGGTTCTGTTCTTCAGCTGTAGTTACGGGATATCTCTTGAAATAGCTGTTGTGGTTGACTTGCTTGATTTTTGTGGTTGCCTTTGGAATACCAACAGTTTGTCTTGCTAGTTTGCTACTTGAAAACTGCATGGAGGCTGGTTGTTACAGCCTCTGAACAGTACTTTGTTTTTATCCACACTTCCTTTAAGTTTAAGATTAAAGATATAAATATTTCTTGAAGAACAGGCTTTTAACTTGACTTGGTTCTCAGAGTTACAAAAGCAAAGTAACTTACCCAACTCCAACACTAATTGGAGATACTGTAGTGAGCCAAAGACAAAACATTACGGTTTTACACCCTGGAACAAATACTTTTAGTATCCAACCATTTTTCTTTTGGCACTTCCTGATTTAGAATATAAATCCGTGCAGTCAGAATTATAAATGGTGTTGCATGGACTGGGTTGGGATGTCTTGCATTGAAATGATGCATCAGGAAATTCAGATCTGCAGTCTGATCAGTTAGACTAAAATTCCCATTCCTGAAGGGACCATGAGTAAGATAAAAACTCCTCAGTATCTCTCAGGATAAGGAATATAGAGAACTTAAAAAAAAAAAAAAAATCATCCTAACCAAAGCTGATGACACAAATGTTGTTCTCTTTGGTGCGAGGGGATTAGTGTTCCTGTGACAACGTACTGTTGCATTATATATGTGCTAGAATGTCAAGGAGCGTTATGACCAGCTGGACCCAGGTTATTGTATTGCTTCACTACTCCTTTACTTAAGCATTTTTTTCCTCCTTTCCCCCATCCTCTCCCTCACCTCATTCACTTGTTGAAGAGGTCTTGAAAAAATTGTAGTCTGTTGGAAAATTGGGAAGGATGATACCCAGAGATCTGTGGTTTCCATTTGGAAAGAAAGCAACAGTGACTTGGGTGAATTCTGAGTACCATAGGCAGAGAGAGCAGAAATTTTAAATATTCATTCTTCAAATGAAGGATCCAAAATCTGGTTTGCTCCCCCAGGGCTTAAATGAGCTCAGCGGGGTGTGAATTTTATTTCTGAGTTTTTTGACTTGGGAGTTAACCTGTCTGTAGGTCAGGGTTTTGGAAATATTAGATGAACCAGAACTTCTGTTTGAGATGTGTAAATTCACATTGGATTCAAGAACTCCTAGGGCTTGCCCTCTCACCCTTTAATCCATTCCTCTTCTAATATAGCCTTTACAGTGTATTATCCTTTTTTTTTCCTCATGTGCATTTTTAATTTATTCATGGGTTCTTGCTTCTACTCTTGGAGACTCTTTGACAGACAACTGATGTGCACTCTTTAGGAAGGTTCCCTTTATCCCTCTTCCTCTTTGCTTTTGTTTAATTGAAAATAGAGGTTATAAATTTGCATTTAATCATCTACCTAAAATTGTGCATGCCATCTTACCTTCATGTTGCCTTAAAACATCTATCATTTGTCTGCTAACTCTGTTTATTGTGGTTTGACACATAGCTAAATGGAGGCTTTTAGAACAGATGCTGTGTTTTCTCATAAATGATCGGTCTCTTCCTAGGTCTGCCACCTTGCTTCTCAGTATGCAGCTCAAACTGCATTTTGGGTTTTTGCCATAATATAGCATTGCCCTATCTAATTTCCTTTGGGTTTACTATTTACCAAGTAATCCACTCCCATGTTTTGTCTTATCTCTCCGAAATGCGTTGACTTGTATTTTTCCTGAGTATATTTTGAATGACTACTGTCATGACACTAGTGCATTATTGGGTGGTTATTGGTTATTTACATTTTTCCTGTCTTCATTAGTGTCTGATGCTTCATATAGAACAGCCATTATAACTATACTATCGCCCACTCCAAGACTATTAGTAATAATACCAGGTTTAAACTGCTATCTGATGAAAGCTTTCTCCATGCTACCAGTGCAACGTATTTTTTTTCATTTATAGCATGTGATTAGTATGCTTCAAACAGTTTTCATTCTTTGTGAAAGTGCTCACATATCCAAACCAGTTTGAACTAACTTTAAGCTAGATTTCTTATGGCAGAGTTACAGAAGTCCAGATATATTGTATCTGTATTTCCTTCATCCACTAAGTTATTAACACTTGTTTTGAAGTCATCCTTTTGATCATTTTAAAAACAGGCTTGGCTTGGAAATAGATGTATCGTTTAATAAAGTGGCATAATATGTTCTCTGTTCAAGAGACTTTGGCAGGGTACTTGCACTGGGATATGGACAGCAGTAAACCCTGGCCTATTTTGCATCAGGCATTGAAGCTACAAATAGTGGGAGCAAATCAAGTCTATTTTCAGCTGTGCTGGGATGTCTCAGAAGACTTTATAGGCATATTTATATTGCATTTAGCGAAGGCTGGTTTTTCTATGAAGGAGTAGTGTTAGGGTGTAGGTTCTCAGCCCTTGTTTTGTGTAAGCACGTGCACTGCTTATGGTTAATAAAAAAGTTACTGGACTTCACAAGAGAGTCGAATGCTTTCAGTGTTCTCTTACTGCCTCTATTTCTTTCTGCAGTGTGTGGACCTAAGCTGCAATGAACTGAGTGAAATTACATTACCTGAAAACCTGCCTCCAAAGCTACAGGAACTTGACTTGACAGGAAACCCCAGACTAGCTCTGGATCACAAAACCCTAGAGATGCTGAAGTAAGTGACTTTTCTGTTTGGTCTCCAGAATGATTCTCGATGCATGTATGACAAGACCCCTGTACAGAGAGACTTGCATGTCTGTAGCGCTTTCTTAGTGTCATGAGTAGGGACCTCCTCAATTCACGATTTTGCAGAAACTGCAGAATTGGGCATTGTTTGAAATTTGCAAGGGTGAGGGAGTTGGGGGGGATGGAGGGGAGGAGCCACCAGTGGGAAGGGCAGCAGCCAAGGTGGTGGCAGCTGTTTATCCCTCCCCTCACTGCTGATTGGCTGTGAGCTGCCTGTTGTGCGACCCCGCCCCTCCACCAATTGGCGGCAAGGGGTGGGGCCACACAACAGGCAGGCTTCTCTGCCAATCACCAGCAAGGGGTTGGGCTGCATGATGGACAGCTCTCTCAGCCAATCAGTGGTGAGAGGCGGGGCCCCAGGCCCCCACAACCAGGGGGGGGGGGGTGTGCTGCTGTAATAAGCCCATGAAAATGGTAGGTGGCCCCATTTTAGGGTTATCATATTTTTAGTTCCAAAAAAAAAAAAAGTTTTGGGAGGGGAGGGGGGCAGTGATATTCTGGCACCCTGCCTCTGCCCATTCTGTTGCCCCTTACTCCTAAGCCATAGCCTGCCCCCCACCCCAGCCCTGCCAGTGCCCCTCACTCCCAAACCACAGTACCCGGCACCCTGGGCCATGCTGATGCCCCTCACTCTTGACCTGCAACCCCCTGCCCTGCCAACTGCCCCCATCCTGGCTGGGCCAGAGCACAGTGACTTATGGCACCCCCCTGCCCTGGCTGGGGCTGCTATGCTGTGCCAGGAAGCCTGGCCATGGTCCCCCTCTGCCCCCGCCCCAGGCAGCATCTCCTGGTTGCTCTGCCCATGCAAGCAAGGACACTGACCCCTGTGCTGACAGCCTGGCCGTGGAGTTCCCTGCTGCCCTCAAAAGGTCACCCCCTTCCCCTGCTGGAGGGGCAGGCAACACCCCCAGGCCCCCATCCCAGACTTACCTGTCTGTAGCTCCTGGGGCACGCACAGACAGACATGGTGCTGCCTGCCTACAGTCGTCCCTCCCCCTGCTCCCACCAGTGGAGCAAAGCAAAAACCCAGATATTTGATCAGATTTGAAAAACCTGCCCAGATGGAGTTCAGAGGACTCGAAAAGAGGACATGTCTGGGGAAAACCCAGACATATGCTAATCCTGGCACCATGATCAGCCCACAAAATTGGCCACCTACCTCCTCAATCTCAGTACATCCCTAGTCATGAGCAAAAATTTTACTAATTCACAAGGTTTAATTCTTCTCTTAGTTTTACCCACCTACAATAAATGCAGTTCTTGCCAGGTATCATTGCTGGTCATAGTAGTTATGGCTACTGCTGGGCTCATTTGAGTTAACTTTTTACCCATGACCCAACATCCACCCCAGTGTGCACTGAGTTTTCCTTTTCCAAGATTCAAGTAACTTGAGTCTGTTCAGTTTCCCAATGAACACCAGGTGTCCCCAGTGGCGGCGGGAGCACGGCGGCAGTAAGTGGGGGAGCTCCTGCAGATGCTGCCAGTGCTGTTGGCGGCAGGGAGGGATGGTGGTGAGCACCATCCAAGAGTTGGCGGCCACCCACAGATGCTGCCGGCAGCATTGGCGGTGGCCAGCAGGGATCACGGACCACCCGCAGATGCTGTTGGCAGAGTAGCAGCAAGCAGTGACTGCCCGCAGGCGCCATTGACAATGTTGATGGTGCCTTTTTGTAGGGCGTGCACCACCACACTCAGGGGGTGCACATGCACCCGCGTGAACCCCCTATGCATCACCCCTGGGTTTCCCTCCCTTGTCCACAGATTAGAAGGTGTGCATTTTCAAAATAACCAACCAGTCCATACGTAGTTACTTTTTGAAGAGCCACTCTTGCTATACAGCTGGCAGTGAAGCTAGTAACTTAATATAGAAATCCACATATCTGTCCCCCATGTTCTTGTCTCTGTGTTCAGTTATGAGCCTCTTGAGCAGAGGCCATCCGCTAAGTACTGAGAAAGCAGCTGGCTTATTTTAAGTACTACTTCAAATAGTAATTAGGTCCCTGCATTGATAAAGAATTTATTTTGAGCCTCTAATAGGTTCCTTCTGCAGTGTCCTGGGTTTATCCTATCTGGGTTAGGTATTCTGCCTCCAAGATCTTCAGATTTTCAGTAGGTCAGAGTTGCCAGTATCAGCCTTGAGACTCCCTACCAGACTCTTTCTTCGGTACTGTTTTAGCTTGGCATAACTACTTGGCTTTTAAATATTTAACATGATTTTGAGAACAGCTTAGCTTTTTTAAATAGGGTTAAACAGTTTGTTTATGTAACTTGCTTAAACAATTGAGACTAGATAGTACATGATTAAATTTCACACATGAGGTGTGCCCACAGTAAATCTGCTTTGGAACTTAAATCTTGCTAGTTTATTGCATTAAAAAAAGAAGAGAGACACAAGATGAGTAACCTAGGTTACATGAAAGCCTAAAAGAGGAACATTTTGACACTGAAAGTAAATGTCAGTATGGTATAACAAGTTAGGCAGTTAGTAGGGAGGTTCACCTTAGACTGGGATGGGCAAAATACAGCCCGTGGGCTGGATCTGGCCTGCCAGGCCATTCCTATCCGGTATGCGGGGCCCCTAAAAAATTTAGAAAATTTATATTTATTTGCCCCTGGCTGCATGTCAAAGATGACTGGCACCAGCAGCAGTAGGACCCAGGGGGAGCTGGTGGCAGGACCCAGCAGCTGCAGCAGCAAGGCCTGCCTGGCCCCACCCCAGCCTGGGACCCTGGGGCTGTTCCTACCTCCCTCTGCCCAAGTGGGAAATTCAGATAAGAACATGGGGAGGGGAAGGGAAGCAGGGGACCATGGGTGATTGTCCCAGTCCTCAGGGTTGGGTCAGGCTGGCTCCTGCTGAGTCCTGCAATCTGGCGATGCAGCTGGGAACCACATGGTGCCAGGGCAGGGAAATGGTAGCAGCAGGCAGCGAGAGGGGAGGGGGCAAGTGGCAGTGAGTTTGCATGTGGAAGCACAGTGGGAGTGAGGGGCATGCCCCAGGGCCATGGCTGGCAGGGGCCCAGAGTGGGGCAGAAGGAGCGTGGGGTCCAGGCTGGCAAGGCCTCTGTGGGGCTGGGCTGTGCCGTGCCAGCAGGGAGAGGGGGAAGCTAGCCTGACTCCATAGAGCCCCTGCCAGCCTGGGCCCTGCCCTCCTGCTGCCCTGCTCTGGGCCCCCACCAGCGCTGGCCTCATGCTGCCACCCAGCTGTCACTGCACTCCCACATGCTCATTCGGTACCACTTGCCCCCCTGCCTGCTGCTGCCATTTCCCTGCTTTCCTGTCCACCACTCTCACTTCTCCCCACCCCACTGCTGGCTGCTTCAGCACCACTTGTTTCCTGGCTGCATCGCTGGACTGATTCTCAGCTGGCACCCAGCTGCTGCTGTATCCTGTGGTTTTGGCTGTGCAGCTGGGATGTGGTGCTGGGTGGGGGAGGAGGGGAAGCAGCAGGAGAAAGGCAGTGGTGGCAGACATGGGAGAGGAGAGGGGCAGGGAGTGGCAGCAAGTGGGGAGCACAGGGCCTATGGCCAGTGCCCTGGGGCCAGGAGCAGCAGAGGAGAGAGACTGCCATACACACACGCACATGCGCGTGCACTCCAGCTGCCCTCCCCCTCCACACATGCCACAGCCCTCCCCAGCCAACACCCTCTCTCACATACCCACAACCCCCCACAAACCTATACCCACCCTTCATGCTCCCCACCCCCTCACAATATATGAGAGTAAGACTTCATTTTAAGCTATTGTTCAATCACCTCTATGTACACTATGCAAACTCATGTAAATCAGGACAAAAATATTTTTTGAAATCAAATTAATGAATGTTGTAGTAGATGTTTGATTTTTTTAGAATAGAATTTGGTATTTTTCTGCTGCTGAGATGCCAAACCCCCTTGCTGAAAGTAGTACTTCCAGGGGCAAAGGGAGGGACTTTTTCTGGCAATGGTCAGGGATTAGAGGGCGGGACATCTGGTCCCAAAATGGTGGCGAGGGGGTGGGGCACCTGTGAAGGCACGGGGCTGCAGTTGCGGCCCTCAATAGGCCAAAACTCGGTAAGCAGCCCTGCAGCTGAAATAATTTCCTACCCCTGCCTTAGACTATTTTCAGAGGCACCAAATTACAGGTAAAGGCGCTTTCAAAAGTCAGCTCTTAGTATTTCTTTGTTCTATAGATAATTTCAGTCAGGAGATTAGTAATTCAATTATGCCTCTCTCTATATAATGGAAAATAGAGATTTACAGTACAGATTTAGCTTTTAAACTGTATACCTAATGCTGAAAGTCCACTTGTACCAGATGCTGTTCATCATTGGGCTGTTGTGAAACCAGGAACAGAACTCAGGTGTCCTGACTCTGTCCTCTACTGCAGTTACTGAGTGCGCTGCTCTCCCTTAACCTCCTGGTTCTTCATTTACCAGAGAGAATTTATAGAGGCTTGCTATCCATCTTTTCGTGGGTGAGTTTTATCAGTTCTAAATTTGAAACAGTTGCCCTCAGTGTTAGAAGTATTTAATTGTAATGTGTTTAGGTTGAGAGGAGAAAATCACCATTGGTGCCTGGAAAGCTTGGCACAGCATTCTCCGCTTGTGAATGGTTTGCACAAATATATGTGACAGCATTTGAGCTGCCTTCAGGTGTTGCCTTGCCTTCCTGGAGCCATCTGTGTTACAATTACTGCAAAGGTTTTTAGTAGTAAGTCTGCTTGAGGGAAGAACCAACAAATAGTTCCTTCTATGTCTGTCTGTCTCTTCCCATATGCTACTTTGGTAAAGGTGCTGAGAGATCCCTGTTGGCTTCTCTCAGATACCTTACTCTTTGGCCATTTTTGCTATAGAAAATACTGAACTTAAATGCTTTAAGCAGCAGAGGTTCAGTATGCACTCTATATAGCATATGTGGATTTTTTTCATAAAAAATTAAATCACTTAAAAACCATGTCTGTTATTTCTAGTATCTGCTTGGTGTAGGGATCACTGAATTCCAGTCTGGTCTGGGCAGACTGTGACCTACAAGTGCCACTAAACAGGTATCATCTCCGACTTGTGAAAAAAGGATAGTTAGGTGCCAAAGAAATGTAAGAGCTAAGGTGTGTGGTATGACCACTCTGGGAGAGTGCAGGACCCTGTCCCCTGCCCGGGTGGTTGTGTGTCCCTTCCCCCTCCCCCCCCCCCCCCCACCCCCGGACAGAATTTAAAAATAAATTTCAACAAATTTAGATCAGCTATGGGAGAGGGTGGTGAAAGAAAAACTGGGCACTAAGATAACTTCCCCCATCTTAGCTAACCCTCTTGGTTGAGGCTGGTGTATAAGTAAGTTTCTGAATTCAGAACTGGTTGTGACAAAGACCTACGGGGCCTTTATTTTCTGAGTGTCACTTATGAACTAAGAAGTAATGCTAACTGCTCATTAATAGAATTGCTATTCTGAAATGTGGAGATTTCTTTCATAACTTGCAGCAAACATGCAAATAATTCTTAATGAGTGCTCTTCTTCCTTTTGTGTAACTTTTGAGTCTGGGAGTTGGAATTTCTCCAGCACTAAGTACTGCTGCTTAAATGCCAGTCAGGTCTTTGGCCTGCTTTTGGCAGAGGTCAAAGAGATGGCCAATTCAGTTCTCAGAAATCATTCAGACTGAAGATCCCACTTCCTGGAAAACAAGTGCAGAGTTTGAAACACTTTACTATCTGTTGTAAAGACTGTTCTTTGCTAATCTATGCAGAATTACAGTGAGCATTACTCCTGAATGGATCACTTTTAGTTTCTTGATTGGTGCCAGCTAATAGGTGATTAATAGACTTAAGAAGTTTGCCTTCTTTTTGATACTTAGACTGTGAAGTCCACAATCTAATACTTAAGTATCAGGAGTTTTTATATTGTGTGGAGTTTACTTTTGATATGCTCTAGCAAGTGCATGTCCTGACTTATTTATTAGCCTAGGATGAAACTGTAAACTGGACACAACAGCTCTTATTTATCTGAGGAAGTGTTTTGAGGCCATGTAGACTGTGAAATGCTAATGAGACTTTTGTGTACACAGTCTTCACAGGCAGAAGAAAAATGGATTGTTAAAGTCAACAGTTGAACCTTTCTTGTGTCTGTTTTATATTATACGTTATTATTTTATACATACATTGTTTCCCTGAAAGGGTCTCAGGCCTTTTGGATTTTTTGGGTTTTATATGATATGGAGAACTTGCTTAACTGCTTTTAGAGTAAAACAGTCAAGAGAGTGGGGGACGGCATGGTTGTTCTCCCCCTCCCCAACATAGACATGCAGTATAAAAAGGGATATATGAACAGGTATGGATGCCCCCTGCAAGTCTGTATTAGGCTGTGTACTGGTCCATATGTTTGAAATACAGACAAAAGTTGGTTGGTCTTGTAGTCAGTTGGAAGTCCAGTGACTGAAAGAAAAACTAGTGCTTCACAGCTGTTGGGAGGAGAGTGGCAATTCTTAATTTTTCAAGTGTAGACCTGAAGTTGAATACAGACTTGTTTTTCGCTTGCAGTGATTTTTTTTATAAGAGATTTTAGAACACTGCCCTATTAAACCTTTTAGTTCAGAAAAAAAGCTAAATGTAAGAGTGACAGGGCAGCTTTTTTTCAACTCAGGAAAAGAGGTTACAGAATGTGTGTGTGTGTGTGTGTTCTGTAAGAAGAGAATTTTTTTCTGTAAAAAGATTCCAGAGAGTATGTGGCTATAAGAAATGTACAAGTTCAGGAGGGAAGAGGGTTGTCCCATACCTGTTAGCTAGTGACAAATTAAATGTAGGTACTAGTTTAACATACTTGAATAAAAGAAGCCCAGTTATGCAAAACAAAATGAAACAGAACTTTACTGGACTGCTTTTTTCACCCCTCCCCTTTACCTGTTTGTAGGCAGAGAACAAACTTTTGAGTGCTCCATAAGGAATCCCTTCCCTTCCCCCCCCTCCCCCTTTTGAGGAAATCTCATTTCCTGAAACAGTCACACACGAGGACTGGGTAAATGAAATGTTGCCTTAATGTTGTTACTCCTTTACAATTGCTGGCTAAATCTCTCTGTCATCTTAAACTATTAATTTTCCTTTCCATTCTTGTTCCAGTAACATCCGCTGTTTTAAGATTGACCAGCCCTCAGCCGGTGATGCTTCAGGAGCCCCAGCGGTATGGAGCCATGGTTACACTGAAGCCTCAGGAGTTAAGAACAAGTAAGCTCTTACTTGGTATTGGCAAAGAGGTACTCTGCTGCCTGGACTCTTGCAAAGAATCCCCCTTCTTTGTGAAAGTGAAAAGTCAGTTGGGTCTCCTGTCTCCCAAAGGCAGGGGCAGTGCCATGGCTTTTTAAATGGATCCCGTCTCTTTGAACAGCCTTTTAACTGGAGTATGTTTATCAAGCAAAGCAAGTATTCTGGATAACGTACAATTCGGACTGTGAATCCTATTGACCAGTCCATTTTAAGGACTAAACCAGCCCTTGTAAATTAACATTTCAGGAACCTGGCATGTTAATAACTGTGTGTGGTTCCATAAAGTACCTTTCCTTGGTCTCTTAATTTTTCCCCCTTATAATCTTCCTGTGCTTCCAGTGTGGGTTTTTCCAGATTTTGAGTCAAGCACATGCAAGCTTGTACACATCACCGAGGTGACATGCATGGTCTAATAAACCGATCATCACATTGCATAGCAGTGACTGTTTCTCCAGGGGCGAGAGGAGCAGATATCATTTAAATGATGATGCCCTATTTCCATCTCCTATTCTCAGCGCACACAAAAAAAAAAACATTGAAAAGAATCAATGGGGGGTCTGAAATCTAGTTGAACTAACACACTCAGCGGCACTTATCTGTATTATCACTGCTGTGAGCAGCAGCTGCTCCAGCAATGAATCCCTGGCTGCCTGTGTTCATAATGTTATATCCTTGAGAACCTGGTATGGGAGCAAGCAGTTAAGCAAGACAGGGGTCCTCTTGGGCCAGACCTCTTTGGCTTTAATAGCTTGAGCTCTGTCTAGACCATAAATTTACCATACCCAACAGGGGTTCTCTTCAACGCTTCATTCATCTCCAAGCAGGCTGCCTCCTGGTTTAAAAGTGTAGCTGCTTTGGCATAGTGCTGTGGGCAAGTGGACTAATTAGTCTTGCTAGCCATTTAACCTGCCGTAGCGCTGCATAAATGTAGTTACATTGCTTCAGGCTTGCCGTAAAGGCCTGTACAGAGCAGCATGCCATTGCTGGGCATGGTGGGTTTGCAGTCTAGAAATGGTGTAGTAACTGTGGAGGTGGAGGCCTGCTCTTTCTTGTCAGATGAATAGACTGAATATTGTTGCTGGTAACTGTTCAGTTGAAGTTTGGACCCAGCATTACATGGCACGATCCCTCATCATTGTCGCAGTTAGCTGGTGTTCTGGGTAGCTCAGCAACTGGAAAGCTTAGCAAAGATGCGGCAGTCTTGAACAGGAAGTCTGAGCTACTTCCATATCTAAAGGTATTCCCTTAGTGCATTAAGAGGTAGTATTGGGGTAGTGCTGAACTCCTGACGTGTGTGGGGTTGGGGAGGGGGGTTGGGGGGGGAGAGAGAGTAGGGGAGTTTGTTTTCTCTGTTTTAAACTTCTGCATAGCTCCCTTTCTACTTTGGAGTTCAACTGAAATAAATGTCATTGCTACCCCTCCTTGATACAGTGTCCCTTCAAAAGCTATATAAAAAGCTTACAGCAGGAGATTCTAGGAACTTTGGTCAGAACAATGAGAAGAGAATAGGGCAGTATTTATAACAGCCCTACAGTACGAAGCTTTCAACAGTGGCTTGGTAAACAGCACACCACGTTTTGTTTCTTTAGGTTGTGTGTCGCAGCACTGTCAGCCAATAACTTCTGCGACAACAGGGAAGCATTGTATGGTGTCTTCGATGGAGACCGCAATGTGGAAGTGCCCTACCTGCTGCAGTGTACGATGAGTGACATCTTAGCAGAAGAGCTGCAGAAAACAAAGAATGAAGAGGAGTACATGATCAATACTTTCATCGTGATGCAGAGGTTATCCTCAGTTTGCTAATTCTTTTTCTTTCTATAGTCATCTTGTGCATGTTGCTTCTCCCTCCTTTCCTCTTCCCCTTCCCCCCTTTAAAATTATTTTGCTACCTGGCTGTTGTGTATTTGTCACTCCCTGTTTTGAGAATCTTGACTCCTTAGTTGTAAGAAAGAAACAACATAAGTGTTCATGACCAAGGAATGGGAAGAGATTTAATTCCTCTGAGATGTGATTAATTTAAACCCTTACTGCTTGGAGTGACTAATATTTAAGGCAGTGAAGTGACTTTTGTGTCCTAATTCTTTCAGCATAACTCAGATGCTGGGGAGCTTCATTTCTGGCTCTCCCCACCAATTTGGATGATCTTGGGTCTCAAAATATTGCCTAATAGAAACATCCAAACTCTTGAAGTGCCTACTTGAGCTCATATTTGAGCCTAAAAGGAAACTACTTGAGCATTCACAATGAGGTGTGATGCTAAAGTTAGGTAACTGTAGTAAGTGGTTTTGCTTTTCTTGGAGTCAGTGTAAACTGCTCTTGACAGTCTGAGAGCCAGTGCCTTGAAATAACCTCTAGCAAGGAAAAGGAATCAAGAGGAAGGGACAAACAGGAAGGAAAGGGTGGGGGAGTAGAGGGAGGCAAAAATGAAGACAGCTTACAGGAAATTTAGCACATTAAAAGTAGCATCTTTTGTTGGACACCACTTCCTGATTAAATGAAACTGGTCTTTATCAGGAAATTGGAGCAATACATGGTGACACAGAGCCACCTTTCCACAAGGAAACAAAAAATAACTTCCACCCGTCTCCTTGTTTATTATGACACTGTCCCGCTTTGACAGAATTTGTCCGAAGCAAAACTTAAAGCTTTGTTAAAATCCTGGAATGTAAGTATTGAAAATACCAGTAAGGTGCCATTGTCCATGTCTCTGATAAAACATCTTCCAGTCTTCCTGCAAGAATCTTTTGTCTCAGGAAATAGGTTATTAGCACATCATTAATACCCAGAAATAGTATGGTTTATGCTTAAACCTTTGTTAAATATCAATGCAGTGTTCCTGTATCTCAGACCCTCCTGAGATGAAAAAAGCCAATATGCATTAGAGCTTGTATATTGCCCTTCTACCATCTGAATCAAGAGGCTGATCTAGCTCAACTAGACATAGGTGTGTTCACCTTGTCAAGGGATCCTATGCTTCAGTGTGTGAACCACAGCATACTTGGTACACCTCAGATTGGGCTAGTGATTGGTATGAGACCCAGCACTGCACTTGAGCAGCTCCATTGCCTCTGTCTTGGAGTGTGTGGCATACAGAGCAGACATGCATGCCACTTCTTACAGGTAGGCCCTGTAGTTCAGTTCTTCAGTTACTGCAGAGAAATCTAAAAACCACAAGCCTGCACAGCAGACACATGGAGGGATAGAAGCAATCTTCAGATAAAGAAAGAAATCAAGTTGTTAAAAGCAAGTTAAGATTTAATAGAAAATAAACTTAGTTTTAGTATTAATAGAGAGTATTTTGAAAGCTTGGAACAGGTTTTGTCTTTGAATTTTAACCAGAGACTCCAAAAATGACAGGTTGAAATAGCTGTGTGTCTGATCAGGGCTAGTAGATTGCACAAGTAGATCTGTAAACTGCTGACTGAGTTAACAAATGATTTTTTTTTCAAATGGGAATAACTGTGTTCTCAGTTGCTGAATTTAGACACTTTTTGCAATGACACTTTTTTTTTTAATGTTCTGAAAATTACTTAATGTGAGTAGAAATACTGTAACATATTGTCTTCAACTTTAAGTTTGATTTTAGAGACTGATGTTCCACATCAATAACATTTACTATACTCCCTGTACTCTCAAAATAATAGATTCTAATGCTTTAACTTCCAAATCTCCCTAAAGGCTGCTTGATGAGATGCATGAGGTAAAATACATTTAACTGCATTGGGGCTGAAATGATAGGAAAGTGGCCCTGTGCAGCTAGAGTTGCTCTGGGTCAGTGCCTCAGGAGTGAAAGGATTTCTTTATTGGCTGAGGACATGCATCTTTCTCTCTTACTAATAAGGTTTCCCATGAATTATACATAATTTCCCTGCTGTGTTGTGTTAAGTATCAAAATCTGTACTGGAGACTTTCTGTGCATGCCCCAGTGAATCTTGACGATGCGTCCCAACTGATTGGGGCTGCCTAACCATGATCTCAAGTCCTTCTCCTTAGTTCTTCTCTAATGTAGCCTTTCCAGTTCACAAACAAGCATAATTTTGTTTTGACATTCCAGAAAACTTGGAACTGCTGGACAAAAACTTGGAGGCTCTGCTGTCCTTTGCCATATAAAACATGATCCCATGGACCCTGGTGGATGCTTCACATTAACCTCAGCAAACGTGGGGAAGTGCCAAACAGTTCTCTGTAGGAATGGAAAACCTCTGCCTTTGTCTAGGTGTTATGTGATGAGTTACGAAGAAGAGCTCAAGAGGATTAAGCAGCATAAGGCCATTATCACAGAGGTAAGACCACTCCAAAGGGAATATTGAAGCTGCAGTTTCCTTGGGACTGATTTCTATGGCAACAAACTCTTTAGTAATGTTTCTGTTTTATATAAGGTATAGCTTAACAGTCAAGGTGCTAGAGTTTCATCTTCCCCTTCCTGTACACTTGTCACCATGGTCTAGTTCAGGAGTGACCAACCTGCAGTATGGGTGGCATGGGCAGCCTCTGGGTGTGGCACTTAACAGATTGGAGAGAGGACAGACAGCACGGTGGCAGATTATCAGGGAGAAGAAAGCAGAGCAGTACGTTTTTCAGGGTGCATAAGGCAGGGAGCAGAAAGCAGGGCAGCAAATCGACTAGGGGAAGGGGATTGGAGTGGTACTCAGAAAGGTGCAGGGCCAATTTGTGGTATGCCTGCCAAAAAGGTTGGTCCCCCCACACTGGGCTAGTTGCTGCTGCTGCCTAGATGTCTGCCTATGCCAGAGGTGGGCAATTATTTCGAGCGGAGGGCCATGTACCCAGTTTTGGCAGGCTGTGGAGGGCTGCATGGGTAGCCCCACCCCTTAGCGGGTGCCCTGCCCCTTGGTCGCCATCTTGTGACTGGAAGTCCCGCCCTCTAACCCCTGACCTTTGCCACCACAAGTCCCTCCCCTTGCTGCCAGAAGTACTCCTTTCAGCAAGGGGTGTTGTCATCTCAGAACCAGAAAAATATCAAATTATATTCTAAAAAGCAAACATTTAAAACATTAATTAATTTGATTTTAAAAAATATTTTTGTCCTGATTTACATTTTTGTGTAGTGTACATAGAGGTGACTGTATAATAGCGTAAAATGAAGTTTTACTCCTGTATATTGGGGGGTGGGGGGCTGCTGTGGGTGTGTGTGGGGGGGGGGGAT